GCTGACTAGATATGCTGTATATGGGGTTACTCCATAGGCTGGATCATGATGCTTGCCATTTAATGAACTAAGACATTATTCCCCTCATAAATGTTTTGGTACATTGACTTGAACTACTTTTTTTTTTTAAATTCATTTTTATTTTCTAAAATTCTTTATTGTGAATTGGGTAAAGTCTTACAGAGCGAATCCATTTTCCATTCAACAACTCATAAACATTCTGTTTCATCTCATTGATTGTAATCCCCACATGTAACATCACTGATCCCACTTCTTGCCTGTGCTTCCTGTTTCCATTCCTCCTTCCTTAACCTTTCTGAACCTTGAATTTGGGTAAATGCTGCCCTTTTGATCTAAAATGGTTGAGTAGTCTAAGGTGAGTGTACTTCCCAAGTGGTGCTGTTCCTCTTTTAATTTGTCTATTGTTTGGCTGAAAATTGAGCCATGGGGGTGAGTTCATTTTCAGACCTGAAGGGTGATTAAGTGCCATAGTCTTGAGTGTCACACCAGTCTTTATCCAGCCAGTAAACTTGGTCTATTTTTATGATTTTGAGTTTTGTTCCATACTATCACCTCTTGGTCAGTCCAGCCATGGTGGTTCTTCAGTCAAAGCTGATATGGATCTTGGTTGCTTCAGTGGAACCCCAAGGAGGATGGCTGACCCATGTTGAACTACATTCACTTTAACAAACAGATCTGGTTTGGAAGAACTAAAGCCAGAGTGTTCCTTGGAAGCCAGGATGACCAGACTTCATCTCTCATACTTTGGACATAATATAAGAAGTTTATCAGTCACTGGAGAAGAATATCATGTTTGGGAAAGTGGAGGGTCAGAGTAAAAGAGGAAGACCCCAACAAGATGGATATGCCCAGTGGCAGCAGTGATATGCTCAAAATGATTTTGAAGTTGGCCCAGAACTGGGCAGTGTTTCATTCTGTTGTGCATTGGTTGCTATGAGTCAGTACCAACAACAAAAACAACAACAACAACATTTATTATAACAAAAGTACATTCTCTTTCATCTCATCCTCAATAAAGAATAGAGATATCTCCTGGAGAATCTCTTAAGCTCCATCTAAGAGTGGCCTTCACATTCTAGTAAAACCATTACATGTTGAGGGAGGAATGCCTCATAGTCAATAAGTAGGCACCTTAGGACTTCATCCATATTTTTAAAGAGAAGAAGCAGTGTGGTCAATGCTGAAAGAGCACATATCATTTGGTAAGAATCTATAGAAGTCCTCTCTTTTGGGTTCAAGTTGGCTGTCTCTTGGCATTTGGTAGGGATTTCTCTGTCCATCTTCCTATTTTCTCTGATCTGGCTTATCTCATTTGAGTAGAATCCTTAGTTCTCCATTCTTTTGCACCTTGCTCTTGGAGATCACTGCATTGGTGCTTTGCTTTTGGCCCAGTCAATGGGAAACTGAATGAGGAGATGGAGGGGGGAAGAGAGGAGAGTGAGGTCAAGGCACTTACATTTCCACTCCCTCCTTGAAGAGTCACCTCTGGAGGACTTGTCTTTAACTAAACATGAAGGCTTCCTCAAGGCAGAGCTCTTCATAATGTTCTCTTTGAAGTCTCAATAGTCACTCCAGCTAAAGTGAAGCTACAATGTCTTTATTAACCTAGCCTTGAATCATCCAGTTATAGGTGGGTGTCTGTTTCCTACAGCTTCATTCTGGCCCTCTGTTGGACTGCTAAGTCTTTTGGGGCATAATGAGCGAGAAGGAGAAGGAAGCCTTCACAGTGATTTGGTTTAGAACATGAACATTCCAAGGTGATTAGAGTTTGACATAGCTCATGTTGATAAGCCTGTGGGGTATTTTGAATAATCTTTCTTCCTCTGTTATCCTTGTCTGCTTTATGTCCAGATTGAGGGGGTGAAGGAAGGGTAAGCAAGAATAATCACATTCTATTCCAGTTCAAGTCCATTAGCTGATCTGGAGAAGAAAGATGAGACTTTCTGGTCATACAAAGATTACAGCCTCAGAAACCCTATACCATGCTGCATGAGTCAGATCTGACTCTATGGCACTTAACAGAAACAGCAAACCTATTTAGCATCTTTTTTA